GGATCAACGGGGTCTACTCGGACTGGTTTGACATCCATAAAGGTGTCAGATAGGGCTGTGTGGCTTCCCCGTGGCTGTTCAACCTATTTATGGACAGTTGTTTGCAAAATTTGAAAGTTGAAGAATGCGGATTAAGAATGGGTGAGTTAACCGTCAAATGCCTTTTGTACGCCGATGATCAAGTTATTCTTGCGTCGTCGGCGGCCGAGTTGCAAATGATGGTTACATTAATGAACGGATCATTAAAAGAAAGGGGTATGAAAGTGAACGCAAGTAAGACGAAGGTTATGGTTTTTGAAAGAGAAGAAAGTAAAACGATTTGTGAAATAAGAATAGAAGGGGAGTTGATCGAGCAAGTAGATGAGTTTGTATATTTGGGCTGCGTATTTAGCAGGGATGGAAGATATGATAAGGATATAGAACGACGAGTGAATGCAGGAAATAGAGTAAATGGGGCCTTGCACTCTATTGTGAAGAGTCAAAATGTGTCGAAAAAGGCACGTATGGCAATTCACAATGCTGTGTTGGTCCCTACTTTAACGTATGGTAGTGAAAGTTGGGTGTGGCAGAAGAAGCACGAGAGTAGAATAAACGCAGTAGAAATGCGGTCGTTAAGGAGTATGTTAGGGCTGAATCTGAATGACAGGGTAAGAAATTGTGTAATAAGAGAAGAGTGTGGTTTGCAAGATGATGTTGTGACCAGGATTAAGAAAGGAATGCTTCGGTGGTTTGGTCATGTGGAAAGAATGAATGAGGAAAGAGTGACAAAGAAAATTTATGGTGCAGAAGTGAATGGCAGAGTCGGAAAGGGACGTCCTAGGCGAAAATTTATCGACCAAATTGGCGATTTATTGAAAACGGGTCAAATTAGGAGTACCCTTAACCGACGAGCATGTATGCGTAGGTGTATGGATGTGAAGGAGGCAAGAGAGGTGTGTCAGGATCGTGACAAATGGAAGTCTGTAGTCTCTGCCTACCCCTCTGGGTGACAGGCGTGAGTGTTTATGTATATGTATGTTATGTTTATCTGCTAAACGAACTGTAGAAATGATTTGTATCGAGCTCGAGCACTTCATTTTTGTCAGTGTTTGCAGACACTCTCTATGCTACTTACGATGATTTATTTAAAAATGTATTCAAATTTTCGAGACTCAAATCTGAAGTCGTCATCATCATCATCATCATCATTACAGCTCTTTACAAATCTACAGCCGAATTTAGGAATCCTCCACGAAGTGTCCACAAAGCACGGTCCTGAGCCACCTGCATCCATCGACTTCCTGCACTTACTTTAACTTTTGGCTTTTATAAATTTTGCACAAAAATGTGCAGCTCCTCAAATCAATTTGGTTATTTAATGTAAAATAGTTTTTAGATTATAATCTGCCGAATGCCATAAAGAGTTATAAAGAGAACAACGGCGAAGAAGAATCGAGCAACAAGAGACTAAATGTGAAGGTGGTCTCTCCATACTGTATTTTATTATGACGGTAGTAATGAAATTGTTAATAGTACTATTGAAAATAGTACTGATTTAATACATGTTCAGCAGTTAAGGAAAACATCGTTAAGAAACCCGCATATCTGAGGAATAAATATTTCGGGGACATGTGAAGCCTGCCGACATACACTGGAGCAACAAAATTTTTCATAACCCTCTCCGAAATGAAAGAAGGCTTGTGCACTGGGACTCTTCACTTAACTTGTTATGTTCTTATCACTAAAATACAACAAAGAATATAAAATAAAACCAAAGAATGTCATATTTTCATTTAATCATAATTTTCAACATGGTTAATTTTTATTTTGTACCTTACAAGAAAATCATATTTCGCGGGTCTCACTTAAAGATTTTATTTACATATTTTACAAGTCAAATATATCTTATATAAATCTACGCATGTAACATGCTTAATTTCGAATGTACATTGTACATCGTAAAGTTTAAAATTATCTAACAACTCCTCGACTACTTTAAATTATGAAAAATTATTGCGTTTTCTCTCATCTATATACAGTTCTCAGAAATATCATTCTGCTTTTAGAATAAAGTATTAGTAAAAATGTTTTAATGGCTGTGACTTGGTTTTACTCTGTACAAAAAAGGCGTTTTAGAGCGTACTGTTAAATGTAAAAGTTTACAAAAGTAGGTCAGCGAAGATATACGACAATTGTGTGAGTTTGAAATTTGAACATGATTTTACTTCAAAAATTATTTAAAAGATATTTGGTCGAGCTCTACAGATTACTAAAATATTGGTCCATATAAAAATTACCACATCCAACGCAACGAGTTTTATAAACATTTGAAAATGATAACCAGTGAGGAGGACATGTAAAGTCTACATATTCATAACTTTTTTTAATTTAAATATATGAAAATTATTGAGAGTAGATATTATATAATATAGATAATAGATGTTAAGGGAAAAACCTATGATATATTCTCAATTTATATGAGTATTTATCGATATCGTTTTAAGCGAGAAAAATTTTGCTACGGCTTAAATTGATTTAATTATTTTTCTTGTAGTAATTCAATATAATTTCAGAAATTATTTTGTTTACTGAAAGTAGAATTTACTCAGGGCATTTGGTTACTTTATATAATGTTATGTTTCTTTAACGCAGGTATTTTAAAAAACAGGTGAAAAATAATATGATTTGTAATGTATTAATAAAACAATGCATATAATATAAGATTTTCACTTCCACTAATAATATTAAGTAAATAATATCTAATACACATATAAAATTATTTTGAATAAATTCCTTACAGCTCACACGTTAAAAAATTTTAACGAAATTTGTTACGGATATTTTTGTGTGGCTTAGGAACCCCCTTAAGCATAATATCCATAGGTTTTTTGTGAAAAAATCAAACCAAATCAAAATCAAATCACGAATACTAGTGTAAGGGGAAATCGCCGTAAGCGTTTTTCTTAACGCTGTGTAAAAGATAAATCGGTACTTATTTTCTTTTCCACGATACTTTTTAGTTAACATTATGTTAAAACTTATTTAGTATAATGAAATCTAACTTTTTCACAAAATTTACTGTATTTTAATGGAGTTAAAAAGGGAAACAGTGAAAGCTGATGATTGCGATGAATTATTGATAAGCTATGGCCAAAAAGCCTTTGCGTAATCTATATTTGAATATTGTCTTTAACAATGATACATTTTAATCTCTATAACTACCGTAACTATTATTTATAAAATAAATTTATAACGCGATTTGTGCGAGCCAACATATATATTTTATTATTTATTAAGTTTTCTATAATATTCAAGAACATTGAAAAAGGTAACATATGATATTTAAAATCATCCTCTTCATAATCATTATTTTTTTACTGTTGCCTGTTGCGTGTAAGGAATAAGAAAAGTTGTAATTGTATATTATTGCAGTTCGCAGTGTTTTAGCTCATAAAAATTACGGCCTTATTCATAAAAATCTATGTCGATTTGACAAATGCTTGAAGTTGCTCTCTCTCTCATTTCGATAAATTACAATAGAAAGAAACAGGTATAGAGATAGTTAATAATATTACAATTAAGTAAACGATTACCAACGATTATGAGTAAGGTCGTTATTCAACATGTTACTTCTTCAGATGTCTATGTTTAAACAATATTCATTTGTTTAAATATAATTACTAATCTGTACTAACTCATATTATATCAAAGCTGAGCGCAGTTGAGCGTTGCTAGAATGTACTCAATTTTGTAAACTGTCGTACTACCTACGTGTATCGAAATTGAAAAGCTATTAGTCCACTTGCACTATCGAAACTCAGTAAACTAAAGTTCCAGCCATTATATTAAACCTTCTGCTGGGCACACGCTTCTCATTTGTGAGAGGATTAATATAAGTATTCGATATAAATTCAATCCCACTATAACCAACATTTAGGTTATAATGTCTATTTGAATATTCGTTATTTGTTTATTAAGATAAATAATAATATATTCCGTCATTTTATTAATACTTTATATTTTCTTCTTGTCGAGGTTGATTGGCGGAGAATGCCATAAGACAATAAGTTATTTATGTATGTAGTATGTAAATTTTTATTTGGGTAACAGTGATAGTTATAACAGTATATTTAAGTACTGTTAAAATTTTAAACAGTTTCTATATATAGTAATAGTTTAAAACTTTAAAATACATATATTGTTTCCAATATAAATGCTTTTAGACTATCAGTTTTTAACATCAGCATAGTTATTGCACACAGTGTGAGTTAACGGAAATTATTTCGATATATATTTGTGAAATAAACTGTTTCCAATTGTTCACTTTTAAAGAATGTAAAGAATTAATAATTTTTGTAATAATAACCCAAGGCTTACATTATAACTTAGAGAATTATTATCCTACTGCCACTGTTTTCATTAACAATAAGTTCCAATAAAACTTTGACTAATTCATTTTCAAAACGAACAATAGCTTAGCTATATTAATCTAGCGGATAACTAAATAGCATAATCGCACATATTGAAATAACACCACAATCTATAAATATTTAACAATATTTATACAAATAAATCAACAAATATTATTTATATATTAATTTAAATATTGAATTTAAATTCGAGCTGATTTTAAAACGAATAACTATACTAATTAAGCATTAAGCGGGAAAGAAATCTAACGATACGTAAAGCGTGTTTTAAAATATGCACTGTTATAAGTTCAATATAATTTTTTAAACACCATTTTCTTGCATTTAGTTAGTATACTACTTTCGATGAAACGTTTAAAAACAACGTTCCTAAATGTTCTTGATTTTAGGAGTAAGCTACATACACATTAACATCTGTATACGAGTTTCATTTGAATTCACTATACTAGAAATTTTATTTATATCACGTATTCGCAATCTAATGTGAACACAATATTCGATTTTAAAACTTCACCACTCACTAAATTTAAAGCTAATCTCATCGTTTCAACTACTCCTGGGAGCCTGATCTACGGGCTCGTTACTCGCGGATCAGCTGGGTTGTTCGTCACTTTCTCGGTGAACTAAAACTCGGACTACTGTAGATGGCGCTGCAGGAGGAGGGGCCGCATCTGGGGAAGCCTCAGTGACAAGAATGCTGACTGAACTATTGGCATTTGGAGAAGGCGTACGTGCACGTACAGGGGTCGTCGCCCTCCGTGCGGAACTCCGTCGCGACATCAAACGAAGTGAGCCTAAAATATATTGCATTTCTTAACAACTTACAATTGAAGCTTGGAACCGCTTAAATTATAAACGGTTTCAAAACTTTGCATAATTTATAAGCAACACCAACAGGAGCAAATTAAAATAATAATAACATACATTTTTGTAATAGTGTGTGTATTTCTTACGCAATAAAAAACCAAGTTTATAATTGTTTCATCATAATAAGGGCGGACCGCGAACCCAAAAAGGTCGTGGGTTCGAATCCGCCATTCGACTACTGGCGTGAACCAGTCGTAACACAAGCAATTTAAGCTTACCATGAGTGGTTAAGGTGAATATTAGTAATGTTTATAGCATTGTTAATATTCTTTAAAAAAATTATACATATAAAGGTACTGAACTAACCGTTGCCACAGCGAGCGGTCTAGAGTTCAGTTTTTCGTTCAGCGTGCACTATTATTCTTTTACTGTCGCGTGCTGACTGCTTTTGTGTGTATAAAGATCCAAGTGCAAACATTAAAATGAACGCGGAACGTAGAACTTTGAACTCAGAAGTCTAGACCGCTCGTTGTGGGATCGGCGCTTTAATCATGAGACGAGTCTTTCTAGTTTAGACGAGAGTTTCTAGTCTTCTAGGGCGTTTCCACAATGAAAAGTTAATGATGTGAATTTAGAAAGAATGAATTAGCTTGGTGGATTGGCGATTGTCGGTACAAAATAGCTTGCCAAAACGGTTGGCATTTATATTTGTCACCTTTAAACTTTTATTTTTAGATTTTATAATGGTTACGACGCAAGTCGCAACATTTCCCTCAGATGGCGCTTACAATAGTAATGAAAGAAGGTTGGATAGTGGACCGTATTTTACCACGGGCTCGCAGTACACAATTTCAATGATATGATTTCATTTGTTCTTTCAAAATCTAACGAAAAAGTATTTCATAGCTTGTCACCACTATTGCGAAAGTGCCAATGAAATATGCAGACCAAAAGACATACTTACATTTTAAATTCAACTAGAATATTGCATAAAATAGATATATATATATTTGACATACCTAATACTAAATTTTTGGTAGTAAACTTCACTGCAAGCAAGCAACCCGGGTCTGATCCCAACTAGCATCAATGAAATTATTAGGTGCTGATTTACCACGGGCTCGACAGAGAACGAAATCATGGCTAGGAAACTAGCATGTTTGAGAATATTAAAAAAAAATATTAAAATTTTGAAGACATGTAAAGATCGGCAACACGCATCAGAACAGAGCTGTGGACAATTTCGTGCCCTTAAACTCTTTCTGAAATAAGAGAAGGCCTGTGCCCGGGAGTGGGACTCATATTATAGGCTTTAACTGTTTTTTACATTAAATGCTGAAAGAACTTAATATTAACGATAGTAAAATAATAAAAATTTCAAGTTGAGAAAACGATAAAACCAAAGATAAGAAGAGATAAGAAGCAGTCAGGAAAATAGGAGACAGTACCAGAGAGAAAAAAAATAACGTAGGCCACTCACTAAGGAATTGAGCTGGCTGTTGACGGTCGTCCTTTACTCTGCTCTCAATTTGCTTTTCTGGGATGTGGTAGATTAGGTCACAGTCAGAAAAAGTCACTTACCAAAAAAGCATTACAACCTAATACAACATCTACTTAAATCATAATATTGGTTGAGTTATAATTAATTTGTTTTCACTGCTCTTTTTATCATGCCAGTTTAAAAATCTAAGGTTTACTATCAACAAACAACAAATAGAAAAGTCTATGACATTCATGCAAAGCACTAAGCATAGAAACCTGAAACGTAACAAAATGTTATGTTAAACTTCACTGTTAGCGGTTTTCTACCAATTCATTTGATCAACGAATACAAAGTGAAACATATTTTCGTTTCCTTGGCAGATCAAATGAATTTATTCATGAATAGGTTTACATTAAGTAGGCTTAAAGAAAACATTTTCTTAGATCATGGTCACATTTGTCTGCTGTAATGTATTTTTATTATTAAATAATATTTGGATAAAGAATCACTTATGAGAATTAACGTTAGAGCATAAAATTAAACAAATTCAATTTGTACAACATTGTCCACTTCTGTGTTTTGTTGCTTTTTGAGCAGAGTTATTAGGCTGCGCCCTCCTTTCTGCTGCGCCCTCCTTTCTGCTGCGCCCTCCTTTCTGCCGAGGAGGGTCGCGTTCGTATACGGCTTAGAGATCTCTCGTCAGATCGGTAAGCCAATCCATAAAGGCGGTGTTTAGTGGGTAAAAGTCTCCACATAACCACGCAGCCGGCTGCGTGGTATGCTATGAGCATTCACCGCCTCGCTCCCACGCTTTCCGGAGGGTTGCCCATATTTGCTTCGGGCGCAAAAAAAAGTTATTAGGCGTTTAAGTACAAGATTAATGATGAGAACATAACATAAACAGAAACTTTTTTTTTTCAATATAGATTACAAATAATACTTAGTCGGGTCATAAGTTCTGTCAAAACCTTATTATTTAAAAAATTGAATACTGGCTAGATGAAATTCACCAATTTTAAAAATATAACGTTTACGCTTGCCAAAAATAAAAAAGACATTAATTTTCATTCACTTTCAAATATAGAGTGGAAGAAGAAAGAAGAGTAGCGGTTATCGCATTGTACCGCTGTGGTTACGAGCCAAAAGAGATTTTCAATCAGCATGTATTCAAAATAGGGGAGGACATTTTGAATAATGTAAAAAAATTGTGTTCTAAATTAAATTACCTCTCATTTCATATAAAATTTCTATATAATTATCAAAAAGTGTATCATTAATTTTATAAAAAGTTTTTGACAGAACTTATGACGTGACTAAGTACTTATTTAAAGTCATTTTTTTAATTTACCGCTGGTTTGGAAAAAAAAACCAGCAAGAAACGCAGCGAGACTTTTTTTAAACATATCATGGTTAAAGGATGTACAGCAGCATTAATTTTACATTTTTTATTTTCATTATGTCTGTATACGAAATACGAATATATTACGTCTACGAAATTTAAAATTTCTACGAAGTGAAGTGAATATCTATTTCAATAAAATCATAAAATGGTAAAACCTACGTAATGCAAATTTTTGCAAAGCTTCTGCACGCGTACGTACACATCAACTACATTAGGAAAAGACACGAAAAGCAAAACATTACATATGAACCTGCACGTTTCGGACCGATATCTTCGTCAACAGCGTCCTGATGGCGAAGAAATAGAGGCAAACCGTAAGCAGATCTTCGTCGCGGAGGTGCCGTCTCCGATCCACTAGGCTAAAATGCAAAAATCTAAACTGTGTATTTATACTCAAAACTGTCTACGAAATGTCTGTCCTCTGTATAAATGACATCCAAAATTGGAAACAATTTTTTTAACGAGAATTTAAAGGGAAGCGTATTTAAATTTATTTTACACACAGATAACAAACTAAAATAATTTTACCAGTACATAAAGTTAATACAAGTACTTACTTATAACTAAAAAAATCGCGCAGTAAAGCTAGACGAAACTAAATAGTGTTGAGATTTATTAGTTTGTACAATTAAGCAGTGCTTGAAATGTAAAATCATTTATTATACCTTCCAAATATGTTTACGTGATGTTAAGCGATATCGAACAACATGACTTAAGTATTTTCAATCGACTTAATAAAGGAGGCGGAGGAGACCTCAGAACTTTTTCTATAGTCTGTGCCAAATCGATTGAGAAAAACGGACAATGAACTCAGATATGAGCCGTGTGTAAAAAGGCGTAACTTACAAAATCTCAATTTAGATGTGATAACAATATTTAAATATTGATATTATTCACACTTATAGGTCAGCACATATGTTTTTTTTGTTTTTTAAATAATATTGTCTATGGTTCCTATAAACATCGTAAAATCTTACGGTACATCGCGAAAAATGTGTTATATTCTATATCTCAATTTATGGTAAGTAACGCAGCAATTCATTTAATAACAGTTTCATATTAAAAAAATATTTGAAGCAACATAATCACCATATTGAACTTTTGCAAATTCATATTTAAAAATAAACAAAACGCGCGTTATGTAAGTTCGTTCTAAAAGAAACGTGACAATGGCAGCCAGAGATGCATCACCTTTTTGGGCCGGTCTGCATGCACCGAATAAAAATAAAGTTCTTATATAAAATTCAAAATAAAGTTTTATCTTTTGAATAAGTACGTATTTAAATTTTAACAAATTCTTATGAAGATGTTGAAAACCTTTTCATAAGAATTTGTTAAAAATTTGGTTCAATTAATGCTGATTCCTGTATGCGGATGTTCATACCGATCCCAAGGAACCTTATCCGTAGGGCATACAGGTAACCAACACATGCACACTCACACACAGACACGAGCTCGTATACACACATACATACACTCATTCACACACCATTCCTATACATGTACACACACACACGTACATACACACACACACACACACACACGCACTCACACACACACACATGTACAGACGCACATAAACATATATACACACTCACGCACATTTATATACTACCATACATGCTTACATGAAAATAGTTCATCGCCACTAGAACCGCAATTTAAATTTAAATTTGAATTAAATCAAAAATGTTAAATTTTAATGTAAAAAAAATGTTAATCATACCATCCTAACCTAACCTTTTAGATATACCTACCTAGTTTATCTTCTTTAGCTAACCGTAAGGGAAGTAGCGAGTTATTCCCAACACAAGTGTCTCTGACTACTTAAAGGGAAGACTCGACAAATATTTGCAATAGGATTTTTGGTCATAAAGAAAATTTTAATTTAATTTAAACTTATTCGGTGTCGTTCTCACTCAATCTTTATATGTGTTATAAATTAATGCTTTTTGTTGTTAAATGAATAAAGTACTTTATAACAATAGATGATTTTTCTTCTACAGCGATCTTGTACATAACTTTTTAATAATAGTTAATAAATATATATTATATCAATCATTATAAAAAAATAATAAAAAAATCATTATAAATAAAGCAAGTACTACATATAAAAAGTGCTTATATATTGAAGGTTTGTAGCTCCTGGTTAAACGACCGAAAGGTCATAGTCCGTTTTTCTCAATCAATTTAGCACGTAATATAGGTAAATCGATTTTGATAATTTTCGATTTTTTATTAGAAAACTGGTACTTCTCATGTCGTACCATATAAATTTGATCAAGATCTGATCAGTTTTTTGAGTTATCCTTAACAGTGCGTATTTAATTGACTTCGAATACATTGATAATGTTTTAATTTTATTTATATTAAAGTCGGTTGTAGAACTTTTTTAATGTTACCACTTTTAAATATCTATAAGTCAATGCTTGGCTACTAACCCACCTGATGGTGTGGTGGTCGAAGATGGTAAAGAGCAGTGACTTAGCTTAACAAAAGACTATTCACTCTTATTTGGAAGATGAAATGTGGGTGACATTGTAATCAGATGGAAAAACAGATGCTGGAAAATTATTCCACTCTTTGCTGTAAGCATTTCGAACGACAAAGCAAAACATTATATTTGAATTCGTGGTAAATCGACAATGAAGAATACAGATTTACCGGGCATCTGGTTATCCAATAGTGGAAGGTAGAGGGAGGAATTATGTTGTGTAATTCCTTCACATACTCTCCGTACTGTATCCACGAACACAAAAAGGCTGGCTACTTTATACCTATGTGATGTAGTTTGAGGTCAATAGCAAGACTCTAAAAATGCCTTTCCAGGCTACAGGTCTGTACAAGGCAGCAAACCTCCATGCACAAGATGTATCGGCGAGAAGTACCACCGCACCTTTACAATGACACGTTAGGTCCTGGTCTTATTGAACCGCTTAAAGTTCAGGTTAGGTAAAATCTCAATCCCAATAACTGAAGGCGCTCAGAGTAGTCCAGTGATATATTTTATAAAACAAAGCAATGGTGAGCTGGTTCCTACTTGCGGTGAAGAGAAACGCTTATGTTTTGTAGGCGTTTTTTTTAATTCAACTGCCGAGAGATTCACATTCTTAACCGTAACGCTGCTTTTTCAGACTAGATTTTAATAATTTGTAAATATAGTCATTTCTTTAAGAATTATTTTCGCAGATGGTATAATGTATAACATAATTTTATTTCACGATGTTTACCTGTTCACCAGGGGCAGCGCCTGGCAGTAAAAGAAGGGGCAGGTTAAGCCAAGCTCCTCCCAAATCGCTCAAATCTGAAGCATCAGAGGCTCTAGAAGATTTTCTACTGGAAGCATGTGACCCTCTTCGAACATGCAGCAAGGCGCCTAATCGACCGCCCCAGCCACCACCAGGTGACCACTTAGTGCTCTCCTCCTCGACTGACGGACTTCGATTCTTACGCCTAAAATATTGAAAATTTGCAACGTTTGATAAATTGTTGTTCTCATAATATTAAATAAAAGTAATCATATTTTAAAACATACAACTTTACTTAAAATTCTTATGAAAGCAGAATAGAATAGAATTTATATTTATTTTCTCATCTCTAACAGGTACACAATAATTGACGGCAAAGATATGAAAGACTATAAACGTATTGAACCCTAGTTTATGAGAGACTGGTACCTAAATAAACAATAACTGTTCTATAGGTCACCAGATGCGACCTCCCGGGTACCTTTAAATTATATGTTTGTAAAAAAGAGAGAAAATCGGTATTAAGCAAAAAAGGACGAATGTGACAAAGCCAATTTATGTAGTGATTTAGATACATATTTTAGATTAAAGTGTATACATTAATCTCAAATATGTATAAGTATATAAACTTGTTGATATTATAATCTGAAATAATAAGTTTTTAAAGATCTTTTATTGTGTGTATGATATTATAGTTAAGGATGCAAGAAACTTTCAGTGGATTCATAAGTTACAGATTTGAGCTAGTTCATTGTGTTTTTTACATTTGTTTTAAGGTAGGGGAAAGATGGACATCAGTCTGTTTATTTTCTTGTTGATATGAATTCTAAGACATAGTATCTCTTGGATAAGCTGATTTAACTGTCGTAGAATGACAGAGTTTATCCTCTCTCCTTTAAATAATGCTGATATTGGGATCGTAACTCAATTAAGAATGCTTTCTTGTAATAATTTTTAGTATAAATATCTACCTAACATTGAGGACATTAGCTCCGCAGTAGCATATCTATTAGGGAGACTAGCTGCAGTCTTAATAATTGCTTGTTGAGCTTTCTCAGCTTCAAGCAGGTGAGTTTTAACTGCCCCACCCCACTCTGTGATGCAATAGCTGATGATATATTGACTTAGAGCATAAGAAATAGATAAATAGATTCGAACGATGAGCTATGTGTCAGAGGGATTTAAAATATAAATAAGTTTTCTTAGTATAGAGAAAATATTCATCAATTGGTTATATCAATTTAATTTCTTACATGTAAAATAAAATTATTTATTAATAAATTTTTTAAACGTGGTAGAGCCATGCTGCAATTATATTAGTAGTATAGTTGTAGCACGAATGGGTCGGCTCGACCGGGGAAGGACCACGCTCTCACATAATACCAGCGTGAAATAGTAGCTTAACGCTGCTGTGTTTCGTATGGTGAGTGTAGAGAACCGGAGACCCTTTTTACTGGAAATGAGGCATTCCATCTCAGTCCTCACGGGTGACAACGCATCTGCATTTTGATTTGTAATGGAAGATAGATGTAGATGTCTATGGGCCGCAGCAACCACTTACCATCAGGTGGACTGTGTGCTCGTTTGTCACCCTATCCTATAAAAAAAATAAGTATAAACGACAAATGATGCAAGAGAAATATCTTACTTCACATATTCTCTCCAGGTCCGTTGTATTGTTCTCGCTGCTTTGTCCTCTCTTTTCCATATCCTAGTGGAAGACACTATCTCTAATTCTTTTCGTGTTGGAAATTGTTTCTTAAACTTTATATCCATTTGTTCTTGCAATTGTCTAAACGTTTCCGTTTCTTCTACATGCCCTAATACATGTTTAACTAACGCATGAAGGATATCCAGACAATGAATCTTGTTACCCCTCGCAATAGGAAGATTAAAACTAACTAATGCCACCGTATTTGGCTTGGATATACCTAAAGGAGGATCTAGAGATGCTATAAAATCTGACAGTTGAGCAAAACTTATAAATTGCGTTGCGTGTGGATCATATCTAAAAGGAAAAAATTAAACAAGTTAACAAGAAACAAAACAAGAAACTGAATAATTTTCATGTAACAACATTAACTTACTTAGACCATCTAATGTAAAACATTTCAAGATCGTCTTCTACAATACCGATTTCTTCTTCTTGATGTGCTTGATTGAAATTCTCAAGGATGATGGCGATATACATATTTATGACAATCATGTAACTTATGATAATGAATGATGTGAAATAGGTTATAGCTAAAAGTGGGCTTCCACAGTTTCCATTGCTATGGCCTATATCTCCTAATTCACAGTCAGGAGGTTGGATCATAAGCGACTCAAGTACATCATTCCAACCAGCTGAAGTCATAAGGCTAAAAATAGAAAAATATTTCATCACAATTTTTCGTAATATGACATTTAGATGTAATATAAAACGGTTTCTTACCGAAAAAGTAACTGCATACTTCTACCGAAGGTTTGAAAGTTGACGATATCGTCCAAAGCACCTTGTTCTTTGACGTGACCGAAGACTGACATACCGATAATGGCGTATATGAAAGTTATTAACGCGAGCAAGGCACCTATATTAAAAAGAGCTGGGAGAGATACTACTAATGCAAATAGAAGTTTCCTAATACCCTTAGCGGCCTGAAATTATTAAAAAAATAGAGATATTAGACTCTAGTAATATAAGAATTGTTTTAATCATCTAATTAAAATATTTTTATTTACAAAAGTATTTAAATTATAAATTAGGCATATCATTTTTCAGAGGTTAAAATACTCAAACAAATTTTAAATCAAAACTTACTTTAATCAGTCTTAAAATTCTCCCAATACGAAAAACACGAACAACCCTTAGTAATGTGGGAGATATAGGGAGGTCGATCATAATGTCTTCCATAAGAATGCCTAAAATAGAAGCTAAAACAAGAAGAAAATCGAAAACGTTCCAAGGTACTGTGAAATAATGGTATCGTAGACCGACGATTTTAACTATTGCCTCTGAAATAAAACAAAAATGTAATAGATTTTAATCTAAAGGAATGGTTTTGCATAAACAAGCAATAGTCAAAAGTATTTTTTATTATTCTGTTAAAAATTTCAGAAACAAAATAAAGTAAATTAAAAAATTAAATACGCAAGTAAAATTTTATTTTTAGCCAAAAAATCTGTCTATTCCAAATTTAAATACAACACTGAAACTATGCTTTTAGATAATTACTATTACCAGTTTTTATAAAGATATTTTCATAAACTACTGTGAGTTAAATAAAATTAATTTTATGGATTTTAACGTATTTAATTTTAACTTTTTAACTCTCGACGTTTCGGGTGCTCTAACCTATGTTCACGAGAAGGGGGGGGGGGGGGACTTAGGTGTTTGTCGTCACGATATCATAGTTAGCCCGGCTATCTTCAATATTTGAATATTTTTTCTGATCTACGCGAAACGAACGTACAGTATCTTGAAGTCTTGTCTTGCAGTGGTATTGGGTTTGTATTTAATTTTGTTAATTATAGGATCCCAAGCAGATGGCAGCACCCATTCATCTTCTCTATTACCCGTGGTAAAGCCACGCTGCTGCTATATTATGGTTGTAGCACGAATGGGTCGTCTCGACCGGGGTAGGACCAAGCTCTCATAGAATACAAGCGTAAACAGAGTTGTTCGAGATCGTCCCCGCCTTTACATCAGATTTGATAGACCACAAATTCTTGCAAAAGAACCAAGGATGATTTGCCAGACCATTGAAATTAAAAAAAAACATCCTAATATAGAAATAGATGGGTGCTACCACGCTTTCACCTTCTAACTACCTTCGTGCTAAGGATCCTATAATTAATAAAATTGAATCCAAACTCAAGAGTACCAGTGCAAAACTTTAAGATACTTCAAGCACGTTCTATGACAATCGGACCAAAATTGATAAATTTAATCTGAAGGTAGCCGTGGTTAACTATGACATCGATACGTCAAACACCTCAGTTCACTCCCCACCCCTCCCCCCGGTGACCATGGGTGATGTTAAGCACCCGAAACGTCGGGAATTAAAAAGTAAAAATTAAACGACATTCAATCCGTAAAATTAGTTGTATTTAATCTGTAGTATTCGCGTAAATATAAGAAATAACTGTTATTAGTTTTATTTTGACTTAATTTCTTATTGGTGTACATTGTAATTATGTCTAGCTGAAAATTGTGGCTAGCTGAGAGTAGATATAATATTAAAATAATCAAAACCGTAGTAGCAATAAATATTTTTTGTTTGTTGTGTCTATATAAAATATGTTAATTGTTTTTATACTTACTACTACTATATCTACTACTATATGTAAATGAATGATTTGCTGAAAATATAAATAATAGCTGAAAAGCATATTCTTATCACTAAAGATGTTTTATAACTTACCTAACCCAAAAACTGTAGTAAAAAATGCGTTACTAACTTCTAAAACAAAGAAAACAGAATGTGGTTGGTCATAATGTTCTATCCCCATTGTAAGCATATTAAGAAATATGAGCACAAATATTGCTATTTCAAAACGACGAGAATTTGATAGGTCGTAGAACATAGCAAGGAACTGGTTTCTCGGCCTTTTTATTACTTTTTGTGGTTTTTTTCTGCCTAACTTTTTCATAGCAGTATAATAATGTTTTTGGCTTTCCGTAAGGAACATCTCCAAAACACCCCCTTCGTACTGAAATCAAATAAACGTAAATAAATAATTTTCTTCTTTATTACAAATGTTATGTATGGCTATTAAACACTATTAGGTAATTACCTTTTTCTTGAGCATATTAAAATTGTCAATAATGACTCCTATGAATAAGTTTAAAGTAAAGAATGAGCCACATACAATGAAAATAACAAAATATATATAGGCATAAAGATTGGCTTCCCTAGCTGGTTGTAAATCAACTCCCCTTGCGTCCACAGCATCTGCCATTACTTCCATCCAACCTTCGAATGTTGCTACTTGAAAGAGAGCTAAGTACGCTATCCCTACATGATCGAAAGATATCTTGGAATTGACCCATGAAAAGTTATTATAATAACATTCCCATTTATCGTTCACAACCTGTAAATTAGTTAAAAATGTAGAATAATAAAACCTATAAAAAAAAACTTTTCAATTTATTTTTTTACCTCCAATGGTAATAATTCTCCTTCGTCATCGACACACTTGAAAAACTTTCCACCAAAAAACTGAACACCCATTATCGAGAAAATTAACCAAAATACTAAACACACAAGTAAGACATTAAAAATGCTTGGAATTGCGTACATCAATGCGTTTACAACTATTCGCATTCCTTGCCATCGAGATATAGCCCGAAGTGGTCTTAGTGCTCGTAAAGTTCTTAAAGATCTGAGAACTTTTAGGTTTTCGTTTTCTTCTATCAACAAACTGAAAACTGAAACCTAAAAAGAAGAAAATATAATATAAATATAATTTATTTATTACCCATTACATAACAAGAATTTATTACGTGAACACTTACAAAAACTATAGTAAAGTCTAAAAGCGTCCAGAAACTTGTAAAATATCTGAAGAAGCCCAAAGCTATCCATTTCAGAAACATTTCAATCACGAAGATCATGCAGAATCCTAAGTTGGTCCAATAGAGTATTTTCTTTAGTGGTATATTCTTTTCAAGGTGGATATCTTCGAAGCACAGGGTTATACTGGACGCAAAAATCAAAACTAAGACGAACCATTCAAATGCTGGGGTGTCAACGTAACGTAAAATAAAAGTACGAATAAACATCCATCGTTGACCAAGCTTAGTTTGAATGCAAGCATCCCAACATGAACATCTGGAAGAAATAAAACATTACAATTTTAAATAACTTTATTTTAATATATAGCATAAAAATATAACCTTAATATGAATCAAAATGGAAATACACTAACACAAAACTCTTTCTATACATACGCGGTGTAACACTGACGAGGAAAACAATCTTGTGGAACTTTTGGTTCTTTTCGTTTACCAAAGCCAGGAAAATTACCCATAGCATCTATATATTGACCCTTGGAGTTTTTTCTCCCACCTATTGTTAGCTCATCTACATATGATACCAAAGTTTGCCATGGACGTTTCATGTCTTCTTCGTCGGTCCTTTTTATTGTATCCCTATTTAAAATACTTGGCATTTCCTTTTCTTGTCTCCTAGACTTATCTGGTGTAGTCCGACAAGATATTTCAGCCATTTCATATTGTTCATTTTCATCTACAATGAGATTTATAAATGTTTATAAATAGTCAGAAATAAAATAAATAATAGACCTAATTATTATTATAAGTCAATTATACAAAGCAATATTTACCTTTTGAATCTGAAGGTTGCGTATGATAACCCGATGATGATTGATTTAGTAGTCGTTGTGCAATAACTTTTTCCGTTACAGACGAGGTTTCATCTAAATTTTCTTTAGAATCCTCTCTTATGCTTGTTATTTTATATTCTGTTGCTAAATCACGTACGTCTTTCAAAGTTTCTTGACTGCCGTGATTTAAATTATTCCCACCTTGATAAAATTGTGGATACGCGAAGTCGGAGGCCACCGATATTGGCCTAAAATGATTATTTTGTAAGTAATTTTACGGTTATAAAGCATCAGGAATTAGATAAGGTCGGGGAAAAGTTTCTTCATATTTTATATGCAATGCATTATAAAATATGTGGGTCATTTTTTTCGATAACTTATTGCCATTTTTCAGGTATTGTCATAATCCCGATGCTGTAGAAGTCTTGGGATTTTTGATCAAAAAATGTGATAAGTAGTTTTGATAGTCTATACTAAACATTACCCAAAGAACCTTCTGAAGCAACCTAAACAAGTGAATATCTGAGGGTGCAAGATCAGAACAGGTCAGGAGTAGCCTAAGATGTGCGTGGTCTGGCGTTATCATGATGAAAGACCACTCCTTTTTTGTTGATCAATTCCGGCCGTTTTTGATAGTAGAGCTTGACTACCCTTTTTTTCTTGTCGTGGGTGATCCATTTTTCATCACTAGTGGTCAATATTTTCAAAAATGGTTGGGTTTTATTGCGTCTATTTAGACGTAATAAATTTTTGAAAATCGCAAATAAGCACACGATTAATTAGGTTTCTTTCAGTGAGCTCGTGTGGTACCTAAGTATTGAGCTGTTTTGTATAGGCAGACTTTTTCAAATGGGTCAAAACTGTTTTGTGCTCAATTCCTCGGCTATGTTGTAACTTCTAATATTGCTCCGCTATTTCAAAAATGGCAACAAATTTATCCGTAAAAGGGCGACCAGAGCGAACAGCATCTTTGAAATCAAATTCCCGGAATGAAAACGGTTGACTTACAACTTTGTGCTACTCTTACTTTTTCTGATACTCTTTTACTGACACTGCATTAATTCCATAAATATCACAATTTTTTTCGCGGCTTTAGTCGCAGTTTACCTTTTTTTGTAATAAACTTCAGAATATATCGAATTTCTTCGTTATATTCACTCATGTTGGCGGACAGAAAAACAATTGAAAAATGGCGGGAAAGTGTTTTTTTCTTTTCTTTGTCTTATGTCCTATATATAAATGTAAATTCAGCCAGATATAAACAGCACAACCAAAAAGATTTTCTTCAATTTTATACAAACAAAATACGAAGAAACTTTTTCCCCGACGTTTCTCTTTTTCAATCCCATTGTTCGATGCATACCCATTTGCAACGATCACTATGAGATTAATCTAAAAGTTAACATGTGATAAAAGTATTTTTCATGACACGTTTACTTATTACTACGGCTAAGTTTCTAGTGCTGTTTTGGATTATAGTTTAAATCAACATCATTATACTTTAAATTTAAAACTGCATATAACTACTGTCTGTTTGTGTACCCCGTTCAATTAAAAATATAATAACAAATACCTATTTAATGCTTCCTGATAACTGTGACTGTATATATTGTCATGAGGAAAAAGTATATTCTCTTGCACTGATGAAGAGAACTTTTGCTCGCTGGGTATAGACGCTTCTTTTTCCTTCATAGCGCGCTGTTGTAACATAATTTCATTAACCAGCTCTTCTAACTTAGATTTTTTTTCAGTCTCTTTACTCCTAGATATAAGGAAACCTTTTTTTCTAACTATGGAACGTATTCTATCAAAACTTTTAGCTAATTTTGAGTCCTCACCAACTTCCTGTAAATATATTTTTTATTTAAAAAAGTTCTCTCCCTCCAAATTTGGATTATCTTCTGTATTGTTACTTAATATACATAAATTGCACATGAACAAACATCTTGACATGCAGACAGCTGTCAAGCTAATTAACATATAAAATAGAATTAGCGTATATGAAGTCGATGAGTATATTCTATTATGTTACAGTACCATACTAAAATTAAATAGGTTTATTTGGTTTAAGTTGCTTAATTAGAACATAATGTTATTACCTCTTTTTTATTTTTGAGTTCTTCACTGTTAAAGCTGTTAAGCAGCAAGGCAAGGAAGAGGTTGAGCACCATGAAATTTCCCATTACAAGTGCGGGTAAGAAAATAAAGAAACAGCTTTCTGCGCCACTTGCTTCTTCGGCACGCATGCAGTCCCATAGTGGTTCGATCCACTCGCCACACAGGATTCGGAATATCATCATGAATGAGTGAAAAAAATCATTGAAGTTCCACCTTAAGAAAAAATATTGTTTTTTTATTAAAATATTTGTATTTAAAATAATTCTTAAAATAATTACGGTTTCAGGTGGATATAATATCCGAACATTAAAAAAAACGAGTGTGCTTATGATCACAGGACTTAAGTAAAACTTCTTTACCTCCAACTGTATGTTTATATATGCATACATGTATATACATATGTTGATTTTCCACAAATATTTCAATTTATTATCGACTTCCTTCCATAATTTGGTATTATTTACCCGAAAATTCATAAAACATGAACTTTAAAATGAAATCACAATTTTATTCACTTTAAACGTAGAATATTTAATGTATTGAACAAAATATTAATTCATAAATTTGTTCAAAACGAAATAAAATACGAAAAATAACTGGCTATGAGAGAAAGAGAGAAAAAAAATGTGTGCACTGCTCTGTCTTGCTTATATCCCCCAATCACACTTTTCATAATGCTTTCATCACCGTTCCCTAGCGTACTCCCCAAGGCACGCGTGCGTAAAGAAGTTTTACTTCGAAAACCTTAAAATAAGCGGTAGGTTTAGGTTTTAAAGTGATGCACATATAATTGTCAGTGTAAGGGTAAAACTTCAATGGTAAGCGCCCAGAGGGGCGTGCGTGCGAAACGCACCGTCACGACGCACACTGGATCGAATTCGAAAACCGCGTTTCGAAGACATAGACCTTTAAAATTTTAAAGTGTCGTTTTTTAGGCTTAAAATGGCTTCTGTTTATTATTACTATGGTCAAAATATAGGGTTATATTGATTTTTCTTATTTGATCCAAACATTTATTTCATTTTTTTTCGTAAAAATGGTCCCCAGTTTTTAAACCAAATTACTTCGTGTGCCATTTTTGACCACAGTAATAACAAACAAAAGCCATTTCAAACAAGATGTCTATGTCTGATAAATGTGTAGTTGTTCATTTTTAAAAAACACGACACTTAAATTTTTAAAGTCTTTGAAACGCGTTTTTCGATCCAGTTTGACGTACCCCCCACTTAACGCTTTATAATGAAGCCTAAAACTACATTAAAGAAGAGTGCGCGTTTTTTATTATAAAATAAAACGAATAGTATGGATTGTAGTTATGCTGCCGGTTACCTTCGCAGAGAGTTGAATAAGGGAAATACCCCCTTGAACCATCTTCGCGCGAAGATGTATAGTTTTTAAGTTATGTTTTTTTGAATAATTCAGGACTTTACATTTTGTGCCTGAATTTTGCAGTCTAACACCGCCGTTGAGAGTAGAGAGCGGAATGGTGGGGACAGTGAGAACGACTTCCTTAAACTGCCATTATTACTTTCGTAGAAATTTATAAGGTACTCGTCGTCGGTACTACCAAGGTGTCCGACGGTAAAACACCTAAGCGTTGCGCAACATTTATTGAAGTAATATTTTTTTGTACATACCTGGGCACAGGGTCTGGATCAAACTTCTCAGGAGTGTATGACTTGGAAAATAGTTGCATGCCGATGACAGCAAATATATAAATAACTATCACTAAAACGAAAGTTAAATTACCAAGAGCACCTATGGTCGATATAATTATACTTAACAATACTTTCATTGTAGTCCACGACTGAGCTAATTTTAACACTCGTAACTAAAACAAAACATGTTATTTAGATAAAATAAGGACAAAGTAAGAGAAAAATATAAACGAATTGACGAACATACCAAACGAAGTCCTCTTAAAACGGATAAACCATCAACAAGCTCAAATATAAGGTCGAGAAGACTTGCAGATACGATTATCAGATCAAAAATATTCCATCCACAAGAGAAGAAATCCTTACTCATAGCCATCACTTTCATAATACATTCTAAAGTAAATATTGAAGTAAAAACCTGAAATTAAAAGTTTCTTATAGAATGGATTACAACTATGGTTAAAGTTATATAAGAATCTTAATTATTAATACCTTATTTCCTATATCCAAAGCTTGCCTAACATTTTCACTCATACCGTGATGTTCCAGCGCGAGGAAAAGTGTATTTAATACTATACAAGTAGTTATAAACAATTCAAATAAAGGATCTTTCACGATCCCATATAAGCAGTTCTGGAACTGTAACCAACCCTCGTAGTCTATGCAGCAAGAAACGCAGCACTCGCAGTTTCTGTCCACAAGTTCATCTGTGAGTAAATTAAAATATTAACATACATATAGGCAGTGACTTATTAATAAAACACAAAGACAACAAAAATAAATTTAAAAAGTCTTAAATACATTTTAAACAATTGCATTAAGCGTAATGAAGCGTTTTTAAAATTTTGCAATAGCAAGCTGTATTTTGCTTAGTCATTCCAATGTGACATTATTTATAGTTAGGTAAACAACATTGTTCATGCATTTCATCGCAGACATAGGAGGCTAAAGGAAAGACGCAGGAGATGCTTTAAAAGGATATGAGCTAACAATTGTTTTTATGAATTCACTGATGTTAGGATTTTTAATGTAAATAATTATATTGCATAAAATTTTTCCTTAGAATAAAAACTTTATTGATTTACAGCGAAACGAATTTTAATGCAATTTTTTGTACGATGTTACCGATCATATTTATCGAACGAGCCTAATTTTACAAACCCTGCTGTCTTCCCATAAGGAACAGGGGTGGACTGGGGAGCGGAAGCGTTGGCATCTGTAGTGTTTTACTAACCTGTGAAGTAAGTGCAATTTTGCTCGTAATTGCCCATATGAGATTTGTGCGTGGCTGCCAATAAACTGAGCTCATTAATTTTCGTCGTCTCCGCTTGGGGGAGATCGGGCGCGTGCTTGTATGGCCAGTCCGCCCCTGACGATATTAATGAGGGTAGAAGCGAAATTGCAATAGTGTTATTTAAAAGTGGTCTATGGATAATTGTTTCATAGAATTGTGAAACTAAATGTGAATCATATCAGCCACTATTTTAAAATACTAATAAAGTGTTTGAATTGGAAAATAGAGGTGAACTTTCACCTTTAAATCAGTAACAATATATACGAGAGTTGATTTGATTAGCAGAATACTTTATAAACAGCACGCATGGAAACTTTGTTTGTTAATTACTTCTTCATTACTTAGTTTTGCTTTTGAATAAAATTAAAGCACTGTTAATTGTTGAAATAAATAAAATATTCTGCCTTTATAATTTGATATTACGTATACCTTGCTTGGTTTGGAACAAATTAAAAATCAGAATGGTCTTTTTACAAAATTAAAAATTAATTTCCCTATAAAAGTTTTCTTAGGGTTAAGGTGATTTGCATGATGATTTCATTACAGAATATTTGCGACGATAAAAATAAGGTTATTTTTATAAAGTTTATAAATATAACGTGTTTAATGTTTAAAGTACTAAAATTATGATCAATAATAGCAAATGCAAATAGGAATAGATTAAAATACGTGAAAATTCGATTTATTACATACAGCTACACGGCAGATATGTAAGGGTAAAATAAAAAAATTAAATAAGTAATAATAGTGTGACTTACGATATTTGCCAATAAGCAAAATATACAAGCACTGGAAGTCAATAATGGAACAAACTTAAAAGATTTTTTCAGTTTCATTTGAACTTAAAAAGTACAGAGTTTAATATCATGCAAGTTTAAAGTTGCATATTAAATACAAATTTTACAATTGTATCAGATTCTAATACTACAGAACCAGAGTAAATATCGAGTATAAGTTTTTCACAATGTATCAAAGAGTTGGAAGTGCTTTTTTATTTTAAAGAGCTCTTAAATTGGCAAAGCATTCATTCGGAAAGTTGTGATACTTCTTTCGTGCTTTCCTATATCAAAGCGTGCTTCAACATTTGTCAGTAATGCAATCAATTGCTTATTTTATAATAAAAATGTTAAACGAAGTTTGATGGCATTACTTAAACATGTAATTGAAAAAGCTATTCAGTAAATGAGCAAACTTTATTTTACCTAGCACCACAATTTGATTGAGGTAATCAGGATTTAGGGGGTATTTTTCTTGGATGCTTCCCTTTTCCTTTTCCTGTTTCTTCTTTATTTTCTCAGTGCGCTTATTACTTTTGGAACCATTACTTTGAGTTGTTTCCTGCAATTTGCTGTCCTGCAAAGTTTTTGATACTTGTATGATACAGAGAAGCAACTAACAACTATTCATATTTACGTATGTATTCCAATAGGTAGGTAGGGGAAAGTCCCGTAACGCCGGACTTCACCTATTGCCGGACACTCGTATTATCTCGACAAGTTACATATAAACGAAGTAAACACGGTTAAAAGGGAAGCAGGGGTACGTAGTGGTATAGGGTCATCAGATGTAGTTTGTCAATGACGCTCAAGGCAACTTCAGGAGCCATCTATTTCTGTTCCCGGCCGGAAAACACTGCGTCACTTAAGATCCAGGTGAGTGTTACAGATAAATTTCTGTGTTTAAGACTTCATGGTACTTGTTAATTAATGTAGGGTTCCATTTTTTCGTAGTCTATGAAAATTTTAGCAATTTTTAAAATGGATTCGGTATAGATCACGTAATATTCGCATTAACCTGTCCCCTAGTACCCGACACTAAGTAGTCCTTTAACGCCGGACAGTGAATAAAATGTTTTTTCTTGTAAATAACTGTATTTACTGCAGTAATTTTTTTTGTATTTACTGTAGTTATTTCAGAGAAAGGCTGAAAAAGTTTTCAATCTGTGATATCAAAATGTTGTTCAAGGAACTGGGTTTGAGAGTATCTTCGTTGCATCAAAATCCCAAAAAGTATTCTACATGATAAGATATCGACATTGAACCGTGGAGAAGTGACGTTGCAACCAAAGATCCTTAGAGAGACACCTTCGAACACGAACATAGAACGCTAAGCAGAAGCTTTTCTTGGTGAAAACTAAATTTAAAATAGCAAAAGAAGAACACAAAACCAAGAATGTGAAGGTCAAAGTGAAGAAAAGGTCGAACAAGACAAAGGAGTAAAAGTAAAGAGAAAACGTGGAGATAAAGCTATGAAAAAGCAGTCACTGACTGAGATATCTCATGTTGGAAAAACTACTTGCGTAGTGTGCTCAAAGGACCACGACGGGCTTATAAAGCATGTGCAGACATTCCTGAATGTTGAGACGACTACATTTATGTAAATGATGCTGGATGTTTTAACAATGTCGGTTGATAGGGGTTCGAAGTGAAGTCCGTCGGGTAAAATAAAATTTTTCGAAGTGGGTTTTATTTTATTACCTGAAAACCTTAGGTGTCCGCTACTAGGGGACTTTCCACTACGCTTAATGCTTTTACTACAGTTTTAAAAATATATTTATTTATTTACATCTTTATCAACAGGATTACAAAGGGCGGACTTAATGCCTTTTGCCATTCTCTTCCAGTCAACCCGGGACGCGTGGAAAATAATGTGATAAGTGCCAAAAATAAAATAAACATTATAGTAAATCAGAAAAAAGAAATACTGATAATAAACCTATTGATATTAAAGACACACACACATACACAAACATACCTTCAGCATTTCTAACAAAAATGAATAGTGAGGGTAAGAAAAATAAATCGTCGGTAAAAATAATAAGTCTATGATTTGTAAAACTCACTTGTTGTATTTGAGGAATTTGAGACACTGGAGTTGGTGGATGCGGAGGCAGAGGTGGAGGAGGCAGCAGATGCGTGCGTCGTGGATGCGGATGCGGAGCTTGATCATCAGACGTATGTTCACCATCATCGTGGTCATCCACTACACCTGAGTCGTCAAGTGATGATTCCCGGTTATTGCTATGGTCACTTAACTGACGACCCGCTACACTTAAAGCCCCGCGACCTGTAAAGTAGTCTTTTAAATCAAAGTAGTCTCGAAAATATTTCTGAGCTTAATTTAATCAGTTTTTAAACATAATAACATAAAACATAACATAAACACTCACGCCTGTCACCCAAAGGGGTAGGCAGAGACTACAGACTTCCATTTGGCACGATCCTGACCTCTCTCGCCTCCTCCACATTCATATACCTACGCATACATGCTCATCGTTTCGATATATCGCCAATTTGGTCGATAAACTTTCGCCTAGGACGTTCCTTTCCGACTCTTCCATTCACTTCTGCAACATAAATTTGCTTTATCACTCTTTCCTCATTCATTATTTCTACATGACCAAACCACCGAAGCAGTCCTTTCTTAAGCCTGGTCAGCATCATCTTACAAACCACACTCTTCTTTTATCACACAATTCCTCTACCTGTCACTCAGATTTAGGCCTAACATACTCCTTAGCGATCGCATTTCTACTGCATTTGTTCTACTCTCGTGCTTCTTCTGAAACACCCAACTTTCACTACCATACGTTAACGTAGGGACTATCACAGCATTGTGAATTACCATACGTGCCTTTTTGACACATTCTGACTTTTCACAATAGAGTGTAGAACCCCATTTACTTTATTTATTGTTTAACCATTCAATATCCAAAAAATCCCATGCAGTCGCATGCATCCGTCAAATCCCGAGCGGTCGCATGCGACCGCACCCACCCACAGCATTTTAGACCATTATAACTTATATTTAGAGACTACTTTTCTATGAAGAAGCTGGGCATTATAAAACCTATACAAAATTCTCTATCCTGCGGTCTAAACAAAGGTCAGGTTTCACCTCATTACAAAAAGGCTTTATTGTATTTTGATAACAAAACAGATGCATACCAAGCGGATGTCGGCAGCGTGAAAATCATTATTATTTCTATATATTACTCGAAATTATTTACGTAAAAAGATAAATTATATTCACACAAAAACTTCCATTACAATTTTAAAATAAAACACTACACTAAAACACAAATAAAACACTAGAAAATCCAAAAATCAACATCCAAATGAAAATGGCGTACGTAATGAACGTAGATTATAAATAAATATCCATAAACTAACTGACTTTTTATTGCACTAGAGGATAGAAAATTTCATATTGATTCTATAATGTCAAACTCCTTCATAGAACAGTAGTCTCTAAACATAAGTATTTATGGGTTAAAGTGCCGTCGGTGGGTGTGGTCGGATCCAACCACTTGGGATTTGACGGAATATCGCTGTGGTCGGATCCGACTATTTGGAGTTTGAGAGCTTAAATAAAATACAATAGTTACGTCAGAAGTTCAGGAACTGGGAGCGAGGGTGTTAAATTTCATGTGCGCTAGTTACCCGAGGCCGATTCTCGCTGATATCACTGAAATTGTTCATTGCAGGTTTAAGTACTTATTTACAACGTGAAAAAAAAACATCATGACGAAACCGTATATACAAAAAATACTAATTTACGATAGTTACATAAAGTCTTCTTAATCTTAAGTGGGCTGCGCGTTCACTTTCTTGAACTCCTTAAAAGTGAGAAAAGGCGCAGTAGTTGAAAAGAATAATTTAAATGCAATTTTTGTCAAAATTTTACTTGATGATTTCATGTATAATATTAATTTATATGTCATAATCTATTTAAATTATTTTGTATACGTTACCTAAAGCATTGTCAGGATGCAATGTATGCGGTGGCGGCGGCGGAGGAGGCACTAGTTGAGGAGGTGGTGAGCCACTTGGAGTCACTGATCTTGACCTGGACCTTGAACTGGGCAATTAAAGAAATATTTCAGTGTAAGTTATAGAAGACTGGTTGACAATTCTCTCTGGGAAATTAAATTGAAAGTGTAGTTATGCATAACTTTAAAACGATATACAAGTCTACATGGTTTGTGATTTCTATAGTTTACGAGACAAAAAATATTTCCCGTCCAACGTACGAGTATATTGTTTAAGATGTAATTCCTCAAAACATGTCATTATTCAGTCACTCCCTACCACTTGAATCGGAATATAGCAGAAATATGAGCGTGCTACCCATGCAGGCGAATTCCTATGCAGAAACAATTTTGACAGGCGGTTTTATATTCATTTCAGTTTTTATTTACATCATTAAAATTTAATATATTATATCGAAATAAATTCAAAGGCATAAAATTTAAAACTGCTGATTTCTTGATTCTATTATCTGTTACCGTTACCGTTACAGTTACCGTTACAGTCTACTAAAGTCCACTGCTGAACATAGGCCTCCCCCATAGATTGCCTCATATACTATTATATTGTATATTTGCCATAGTTGCCAGTGTAAGATTCGGAATATTTAAAGTTTATATGCTTATAATCATCTAGTTGCGGTGTAAGAACCCCTTATCGTCTCCTGGGTGACGTAAAAGACGACAGAAGGAAACTTAAATAGAAGATGGGTTGCAACATCTTTCTGGTAACAACTCAAAATAATACATATGCGGTTGCCAACCCGCATGCCAAGGGTGGCAACTATGGCAAAATCCTCCCCATGAGGCAATTTATGGGAGAGACCTATCTTTAGCAGTGGATTTTATGGGCTCTAATGAATGAATGGAAAATTTCAGACTGCAGGAAACTAAAATTTATTTATAATATGAGCTACACATCAATAAAATGAAACATTAATTGTCTACATTAGCAATAAATAAAGTTAACATACAGTCAAGCACAATAGTCTGTTATTAAACAGTCGCACAGAGAAGACAAATAATAGAAGACGTTGTCGCTAAAGACTTTTAAATGTTGCCAACAAATAATTACTCAGATATTAACTGAATCTGTGAATTTTGTGTGATTTTAAATGTTCCTTTTTCAATAGTGGATGTAAAGGCAAAAAATTTAAAAATAAAAATTATTTTCAATATGCTGTATATTAGACATCTATTTTTATCAGTTAAAAGTGAAATACAGCTTACATAAAAATCTAAAAAATTTATAAATTACAGTATAATTTCGCGTGACCACTAGCCACTAACACTATTTATATATATAAGGAGTTAGCTGATGGTATCCATGGGTTATTTATCGTCAAGTGCAAGTAAATAAGACCCTATTATAATTATTCTATTATAAAAAAGTGTGAATATAATTCCATGTTTAACACAAAAGAGTTTTGTAAAATCTGTTACAATATTCATTAATTTTAACACGAAGATTTTCTTTGAAGCTTGAAGAGTGTTATATAAGAGACTTTTATCAGCATTTACACCAAAGAGAGTCCTTTAAAATATTCTTGAAGATAGACGAAGTCAAGGACAGAAAATATTTATTCCTTGATAAATTTTAACGAATCAATTGCGTAACATTGGAATTACACAAGGACTTAGAACATTGGAAGGTACTTTGAAAATTGTTGTGGGTGTCTTAGCCACATTCTACTATTACTATTATAAAAACACTTAAGTATTATTTAAATTATATTTTAAAATTTCTTTTGCTTTTCTACTCTAAAAAAATTGTTCTTTGCCCTATATAATGTGCCTATAATTTTCATAACAAGCGTTTGCAAAATCTAGATCTACTATTATGACCTGTTTAGAAAACAGCAATTCACACAGTGGCTTTACAAAGAAGAGAATTTACCCTCAATACACCATAGTTCTTCGCGACCAACATGTAAATAAAAAAAATTATCAAGTAGTGGTCCTGAAGCGATAATTTCATTGGAACACCTTCATTATTTTTGCCTGCTCTTAGCAGTGCAATTTTGGTGGAACTATCAACCGAACCCAAGGTGCAGTGTTAGTGGCATTTTGTTTTCAACAAATTATATCTTCAAAAAAAGAGCCTACTCTTTTTTAAGGCCGGTAACTATAATTCTGGTGTTGTAGGTTCTTATGGGCGGCGGTCGTCACTTACCATAAGGTGAGCCGTTCACTCTCCTGCTCTTTCCCTCTTCTATAAAAAGGTAACAATGAACAAGGGTAAAAACAAAAAAAAAAGACAACAATATATTATATTATAATAAAATATATCTATTATGTATAATATATAAACATATTTTTTTATTTAATTGCTACGCGGACATAAAGTTACCTATATACATCCCACAGGCTTCCCCTCGTTTCTGAGAGGGAAGGAAGTGTTCGCCGCGCTGCCTATATAATTGCCCATATCTTTAAAATTATTTTTTTGTCTTATTTTTTAGACAAGCAGGTTTACTCACGATGTTTTCTTTTACCGCCGTGCACGTGGTAAATTGACATTTAAAATTGCAATTAACAATTTTATTGGTGCCGGCGGGAATCGAACCCGGTTGGCTCACGTACTGTGAAATTTACAGCGACCGCTATCCGTCTGAGCTATCACGCCTCTTTAGGAAGGACCATCATTTGAACCATTGTTGAGTGACAAGTAAATTGATGTTGGCAGGCAATAATTAAAGGGTTTCAAAACTATATTTTGTAAGCCTTAAGTTATTTTTATTCATTTGTTATTATAAAATTAATGTACGCTGTATGGTACATGTACATTTGTCTTTTGTGTTCAAGGGCTATAAATATATGAAAGCGTCTTTAATTTTATAATAGCAATAAAACCTATAAAAGTTAAAAACCATATTATTAACAAACTACTCGTACTAGGCTATTGATATGAAATGGAGAACTAGTGTACTAGTGTAGTAGTGTACTAGTGTCCACGTAAATTTTATTCCAACAGTTTTTTTAAAGTAGCAATATAAATATTTTTTTGGAAAATCCAAGATGGATCAATTAGTGTTTTCTTAATAAACGGCTACTCATATTATCGTATAAGTGCAATATGATTATGATAGAGGCATTTTAAGAACACAAAATTGCTTGACCTTTGACGTGTCGAGAGTGAAGCACTAACTAATAACGCTTCGCATTATGAGGCGTGCAAAAAATATTTAAGGTTAAGGCTTTTTACAGTACACAAATTACTTTCAGTGTCGCTTTAACACTCTTGCATAGGTATACTCTAACCTAATTTATACTAATTCTATACACTCCTGAAAGACTTATACTTGAAGGTTAGGTTTTATCTTATAGGGGCATAGTCACAAAGTCGTTTTCTTAAGACTACTTGTACGCACAGCATCAGTTTAGAATTTTTGAACGACCAAAAAGTTACCAGAAGTTTTGTGTAAAAATATGTTATACATATACCTTTCTGAAACAGCTGTGACTGCTGCTATATGATGTAAAGGATTTTTGCCCCTCTTGCGTCTTCTTGTTCTCTTTCTTGAGTAAGAAGCTAATAAGAGTCCCTTTCGAGCGTCAATTCGCTTTTTAGAGTCCTTAGCTAGAGCCCGCACTGCCAACGAGGTGGGATCGAAACTGAATGTGGAATCGTCCCGATGTTCATTCAGATCCTTTTTGCGTTCCTAATTTATAAAATCAAAATTGAAATTGTTTTATTCATCAATTTTGTACATGTTAGTGTGAACATGAACATTATCTCCTCATACATACATACTACATACATTTTCTTTATTAATTGTGTACTTTATGATAACGATAGTTACTTTATGGTGGCGAAGTTTCTTTCGCCGTGTACCCTCCATTCTGAGGAACCTTTTTTTATGGAATATGTATAACATACGAAAGCACAGTCTACTTAATGATAAGTGGATGTTGTGATCCGTAGGCAAATACATCTATCGTTCGACTAAGAATCGAAATGCAGAACCGTTGGCACCCCTGAAGTCTAAGATGGAATGCCGCGTTTCCACTATAAAAGGGTCTCCGGACCTATATACTCACGATACGTTTTATACAGAAGTAGAGCCACGCGGCAGCTTTTGCTGTTGCACGCATAGGCCAGCTTAAACCGGGGTGATACCACGACCTCACGAAATTCCGCTCGAGACTAAATCTACTCGGGGCAAACGGAGCAATAAGACAAAGGCGCCCTCTGCCACGCTATCCGTGATTTTTTGCAAAATCAAGGGATTTCATTCAAAACTTAACGCCATCCACTAGCATCTGGAGGAGGCGAAGCCGACCTTGTTCTTTCTAACCGAGACACAAGTGTCCTCTTCGTCTGATACTTCGTATCTCTCCACCCGGGTACAAATTAGAACACTCCTTTGTGTACCGGGCTGGAGTTTGCGCGTACGTCAGAGAGGACATCTGTTTTCGATGTCTCGGCAGCCTTGATGGACCTGTTCATTTTATGGATGCACGTAGACAGCGATGAACATCCATCCCCGCGTCTACAGGTGCCTCTATAAATCCTATAGCGGTAATGCCGACACAGATCGACTCATCGATCACGTCCAAATGGCTGCAGACTCCATGCTACAGCAGGTCCCATCCGCTGAGATCGTGATGCTTGGTGAATTTAATGCCCATCACGCTGAATGACTTGGTTCCCGATGAAACGATCATACGGGATTATATGTTTATGACTTTGCTTTGGCATATAGTCTGACACAACTGGTTACCTCGCCTACGCAGATCCCAGATGTGGAATATCATGTACCTTCCCTGTTGGACCTTCTGCTGACCTCTCATCCGGACGGATGTCAGGTCTCCGTTGATGCCCGTCTTGGCACCTCAGATCATTGTCTGATCCGAAGTACGGTGCCATTGCGGTTGCATTCTGCAGGCTGGCGACAAACTTGTGTCTGAAGTCGAGACTTTGTTGAACAAAGTCTCGGACTGGGGGTGACCAGATCTAGTCCAGTTCAATCTCCAGAAGACACAAGTTTGCACGTTTATAGCTAAAAAGAACGTTTGATGTGTGAACGGAACGAAGTTTGTCGTATCTCCTCAGTTTCAAGGCACTCCCCATGTTACCTCAGCCAGTATCGGAATCCTCGGCGTCGACATATCGAGTGACGTGCGGTTTCGTGGTCACTTGGAAGAGAAGATCAAATTGCCCTCTAAAAAGCTTGGCGTGCTCAGCAGAGCGGGACAGTATTTCATGGCGGCACACTGCCTGCAATTTTAGAGGGAGCAGGTTCGGGCGCATATATTGTTTACAGTAACCATCTCTCAGCTGGAGCTCCCCAGTGCCAGCTCCTTCCATTTGATCGAATCCAGCTCAGAGCCGTTCGAATCGTCGTCGACCGAGTACTTTCTGATCGGCTTGACTCACTCACACGCGAAGAGATGTTGCATCTCTTTGCATATTTTATCGCATTAACCACGAGGAGTGCTCTGAGAAATTGCTCGAACTAATTCCAGCCGCACAATTTCACCATCGCACATCGGGACAATACTCGCGATTTAGATGACTGACGGTGCGATTTGAAAGAAGTTTTCTTCCTCGCACAACTACCTTGTGGAATCGACTACCACCAGAGATATTTCCGGACCGATACAACACAAGGACCTTCAAGAAAAGAGCCTTCTCCTTTTTAAAAGGCCGGCAATGCGTTTGCAACTTCTCTGGTGTTGCAGTTGTTCATGCGCGGCGATAATCACTTACTATCCAGGTAACGCGTATGCTCGTATGCTCGTTTACCCCCTCTCCCATAAAAAGTAACAAAACACAGTAGCAATTAACTGCAATTTCACACTGGAGTGAGAGTGTAGTCATTTCCAGCTCGAGCCGACCCATTCGTGCTATAACCATATAATAGCTGCAACGTGGCTCTACCAAGTACACGAAAACCTAATTTCGAACCGATATTAGATTTAGAAGCTTTAAACGAATTGCATTGGGCAAACGAAATTTATTTTATTTTGATTTATTTTATAACAGGTTACCTCTTGTGTAATCTGTGATTCCTCCTCATAGCTGAGCGCTACTACAGCGAGCATCAGGTTGATAAGGTAGAAGGAACCGAAGAAGACGACCACCGTAAAAAACGACACGGACATCGGACCACACGAAGACAGCACCTTAACAGAGGAAAATTGTATTAGTCCAGTTACCAGTACTTACACAAGTAACAAGTGAAATATTGTTACCGTTACAGCCTGTCAAAAAGCCAATGCTGTACATAGGCCACACCATAGATTGCCCCATGGGGGATATATTTGCCAGTTTCTACGCTTGGCAGGCGAAATGGCAACTTAAGTTTTTATTTTTGAATATTATTAGGAATACGCTACTGCCCATCTCCTGATTTTTTTTTACCTCTGACGCTATTTGCGTCACCCTCACTCACTCTCTTCGGAACGATATGAGGTAGTGGATTATTGAAATATATTAATTACATTAAAATAATGCTATAGAAATATAATAACGAGAAGCAACTTCTTCACCAGGTTCCACGAGCGGTTCATATGTTAAGCGGTAGTGCAGTTAATTGATAAGCGTTATTAGTATCCTTATTTAAATCTACTATGGATTGATAGAAGTAGCTTTGTATAAAAAAAAAGAACAAGGAACCCGACTCTAGAACGAATCCGTATTATAAAATGTGAAAGTTTATAAATGCGAAACGGAAACGTTTGGATGTTTCTTTGTATTTTACTCCATTAAATTATAAATACTCCTTTAAAGTACTTCTACGACAACATTATCTAAGACAATTCCTACATAACTGACGTTTTATTTTATTTTTATTTCAAATATTTATTTACATATATATACAGGTTGTCCCAGAAGTCAACGTCAAGCCGAAACTTTCTGATAGGCGAGGCCATACTAGTTACCAGAAAAATATAAAAAAAATCTAAGTCATGTGTTTCAGAAGTTATAGTAATTTTTATTTTTTTTCGATAAAATGTACACCATGAGACTGTTTTTTCATTCCTGTTGCTACAAATATTTACTTTTTGCCAATTTTTTTCTCTTACGTCATCTTGAATAGTGCTTCTGTAACCTGTAATCATAAACCCTGTGTCGATCACTCCAGCTTGAAAGAAAATGTAATTTTATACCGAACCAAGTTTTCAGAATTAGAATTAGTTTTTCGCACTACTTCAACTGGCCGTCCTGGAAAAAAATTGTACAACGCCAGTTTGACAAGTAGCTTTAAAAGTTAGCGCATTTAATAAGGATTCTAACGTGGTATAACACTTACTCCGTTATTTCTTAGATCGGCCATAAAAATTTTTTGTTAAACAAAGTCAGTTTTTAACAATTTTTTGGAACTTACATTAAAACGATAATAGTGCAACCAAAGCGTTCCTAATGACCACAGCGTGGTTTAAATGAGATAGAGAGAAACATTCCATAAAGTGTGAGCGAGACAGATAGTGACGCTAATGAGACACAGACGCAAATGAGTGAACAAGACAGAGAGCCATGCTAAGTGTGAGCAAGACAGGTAGTGACGCCTCTTATTGGTATTGGTACACGCACTACAAATCAGTCAAGTACTCTGTGAAATGAGTACGCGACGCTACTTCGTTTACTACGCATATTTTCGTATTCGCTGGTGATATCTTGTGTTCGTACTACTTTGGCTTCGTTTACTGGACTTGTTTGCGTGTCTACACGAATGGCACGTCGAAAATCCACGATTGATGAGACAAGATAGATCACAGTACCGTTTCAAAATAAACATCTGGACTGGAATTTTAAACGGAAAAGTCATAGGGCCTTTCTAGTTGCCAGAAGTTTTAAATGCTGAAATTTATTTAGATTTTTTTAAAAAATCATTTACCCAATTTGCTGGAGGAGGTGCCGCTTATTATTTTCAGAGATATGTGGTTTCAACAAGATAGTTGTCCAGCGCATTATAGCCGCTTAGTTCAAGAACACCTTAACGAGGAATATCCGGACAGATGGATAGGGCGGGCTGGTCCGATCTCGTGGGCCCGCCCGCTCATCCGATTTAAATCCTCTAGATTTATTTTACTGGGGAGAGGTGAAGAAAAAAGCATATTCCAAGCCGATTGAAAATGTAGAAGAGCTTAGATAGAGAATAGCGGAAGCATTTGAATTTTGTAATAATGGAATATTCGCCCCCCTGATTTCACGATATTTTTTAAAAAGATGTCGGGCTTGTATTGCAGCTCAAGGACGGCAATTTGAATATCTTTTGTAAAATAAGTAATAAATTTTATCATAAAAACAAAACTGACTGTCTTAATTTTATAACCATTATTTTATTACTTTAGTTCGCTCGCACTTTATGGAATGTCTCTCTCTATCTCATATATCATAAACCACGCTGTGGTCATTAGGAACGCTTTGGTTGCACTAGAGTCGTTTTAATGTAAGTTCTAAAAAATTGTTAGAAACTGATTTTGTTTAACAAAAAAATGTTTATGGCCGATCTAAGAAATAATGGAGTAAGTGTTATACCATGTTAGAATCCTTATTAAATGCGCTAACTTTTAAAGCTACTTGCCAAACTGGCGTTGTACAATTTTTTTCCAGGACGGTCAGTTGAAGTACAGGATTTAATTGTGAAGGTTCGGTGATCAGCACATTTTTTCAAGGTCAAGTGATCAGCACAGGATTTAGGATTACAGGTTACAGAAGCACTATTCAGGATGACGTAAGAGAAAAAGAGAAAAAATTGACAAAAAGTAAATATTTGTAGCAACAGGAATGAAAAACTGTTCATGGTATACATTTTATCGAAAAAAATAAAAATTACTATAATTTCTGAAATACATGACTTAGATTTTTTTATATTTTTCTGGTAATTAGTATGGCCTCGCCTATCAGAAATTTTCGGCTTGACGTCGACTTCTGGAACATCCGATATATTCACACGGATATTTATTTATTAACTTTATAAGCATGTATACACATCACGTCTGAGTAAATAAAACCCGCACTGGAACAGAACGGTGGACATCTCATTGCACTAAAATCCTGTCAGAAATGAGAGAAGGCTTGCGCCCAGCAGTGGGACGTATACAGGCTGTAACTTTTTGTTATGACTACTTTTTATACTTTATTACATATTTATGGCGCATGTTATTGACAATTCATGTCCACCACATTATTTATTTTACGCTGACGTCATATACTCTATGGTACTCTAAATGTTACCTACACCCACGCTATTGTGACAAATCGATTGAGACAATACATTTTTGTGGAAATTAGAAAACTAGTTAAGAAGTTAAAGGTCGACATAGAAACAGTTCAAACATATACATCAACCAATCATATCCCTGGGAAAAAGACATAAGGTATTCTACGATACGCATTGTCTAAGCGTTACTAATAAATAAAGCCCGCAGTTTAGTAAAATGGGGGTAAATTATTCGCTAACCAACAGTTAACGAGGTTAGTTTCGTGGGACTTAGTGCTCTGCGTACACGTCCCCAGTTTACCTTCATTAGGTAATCCATTACCGTTTAGGATAACACGTCTTTAACCTCTGACAGTGTGCTAAAATAATATTTTGTATAATAAAATATGAATTATTTTAAAAATTTTTGTACTATTTATATTGTATAACCTTATTTTTAATAGTAATTTTGTTTTTAATTTATAATTTATATTACACCATTGTCCATAGAATTTACACACTATTGACACTCTTATGACCAACGGACCATTAGGCGCGTTCTTCTAGAGCAAATGACACCAATACATACTCGTATAGTATAATATGCAATAATCTGCAATTCCCCTGATGTTGCAGTGTTCATGGGCGACGGTAATCACTTACCATCAGGTGAACCGTACGCTCGTTTGCCCCCTCTCCTATAAAAAATCTCAGAGACTCATATATGCACCATTTACTCCCGGCCCTAGTCCTGGTTCTCTAGAGACGATGGATCCACCAAAGGACTTTATGTTACTACTCTCAAAAATGTGTGTTTCTCTGTTAGTGAATGCATTTATGCTCTTTTGGGAAATAAGCTTTAAAGCTTTAAACTACAAAAATTGTACAAGATACTAATAATACTAAGGGAATATTTATAAAATCAATAGTTCTACTAAGGGAATATTTATAGAAGTTCTTCAGATGGCGTATTTTAAATAACAGTTTAAGTAACAAGATAAACTGTCAGCATTTTTCTTTCATAAGAAATAGTAAGATTCATAATAACAAACTTTTGGAATCTTTTTTTATTATGGCGTTACGATATTAATTGTGAATTTATTACGAGACAATTAATTGTTTATTAAAACATCGGACGAAAAAACTAATATTTAATAAATTAATTAAGATAGTATAAATACGTAATTTATACTATTTAAAAATACTGTTTATCCACGTACATATAGAAAAGGCGCTGAACGTGAAGTTGACGATCGTACTACAATCTCATGACGAATTTTGGTAAATGAGCTACGATTGCAATAATGTTTATCGTATATTGTAAAATCTGCAATATTGACATTTTCTAGTAACTAATCATTAGCAAATATAAAAAATATCCATTATAAATTACTGATATAGTATAATATTGCGGAAAAGTAACGAACTGCACGTGCACGTCAAAATACTCGTATTGTGAAAGTTTTAGATGGAAATTTGGCCCGTGTAAAAGGTTTTAATACGTGTGTAAAGCAAACAAACCGTAAGTTTTGGGCACCCACTGAGCATATTCATTATTCGTTGACCATTTTGTCGGGCGTCGCTTAATTAATTTTCTAGGGAAAATTATTTTAAGAGGGAACTTACACATAAGCATGCATTTCAAGTCTGATAGAGCATATTTTGGAGTTATCGATAAATTTGTGTCCTTAGATTAATTACATCAGTGTGTTCAACTTATAAAATATGGATGATTTGTAGCAAAATTTTTTTTTGTAAATAAGGTATTCGTATGCTCTTATCATCGACTTGAACCCAGATAAACATATTTATATAATAAACTAGGCCTTGCAGCTTACATACAATACAATACAATACAATACCCTTTATTGAACACTAAGAAAACAACATAACAAGGAACAAACAAAGAGAAAAACAAAAGGCAGTCTTATTACTATGCAGCAATTTCTTCCAGACAACCAAAAAAAAAAAAAGGGGGTGGTCTTAAAATAATAAAAGTAAATTAATAAACCTGCCGGAATTTACTTAATGACAGACTAGTGATCATAAAACGACAGGAATAGATAAGAGGAGGAGGGATGATTTAGAAGGAAAGATAATGTTTTTTAACTTGGTTTTTAAAGGAGTCTATTGTTTGAACAGGTTTTATAGTTGATGGTAAGGAATTCCAAAGCTTCACTCCAAGAACTGAAAAAGATTTACTGTTAAATGTAGAAGAGTGCACGGGACATAGAAGGGAAAGGTTTTCTAAGGATCGAAGGGAAAGTTTATGAGATGAGCTGAGAAATTGGAAACGTTCTTTAAGGTAAGGAGGAATTGATATATTAAATAAAACGCAGTAGAGAGCAGAAAGGATATGAGTATTCCGACGAAGACGGATTGGAAGCCACTTGAGCTTAGTGCGGTATTCTGATACTCGTACATGGTCATATTTACGAAGTCCAAATATGAACTTATTATGATCGCTCAAGTTTGTTAAGTTGCTCTTCGGTAATGTCTAGATAGCTTATGTCAGCATAATCGAGGATGGGGAGCAGTAAAGATTGGGCAAGCATAATTTTGGTGGAGATGGGTAAGAAGTATTTCATTCTTCGGAGTGAATCTCCATAAACCGTAAACATTTTACGAGACACTGCGTTGATAAGATACTGCAATGATAAGAAATATTTCATATCTAAATCTGTGCGTTATTATTTTAAGATCTGCATATAGTGTCACATATTTTGCGACGAGACATAATTGACTGTAATTATAAAAAAGCTTCCTCATGTCACTAAACGACGGGTGAACGTTTCATATACATTATCTAACAGGGACTCTGGCCCGACTTTCCCACATTTCAGAGTATGAATATGTAATGAATAATTAACAATGCGAGTCAAAAATACATTCTACAAGTTTACTCGTAAAATGCGGACGATGTTGGCAACAAGTAAAAAAATAATTAATTATTGGTCAAGTTTGTCGCTTAAAATCATATTTCAGAACAACATTCTTATGAAGACTGGCCAGTTTAAACCAATTTTGTGAACTAAACATCGTACCTTGAAGTTGTGAGAAGAAGTGAACCTTATCGATAAGACTTGTGGAAGTAGTTCAAGATAATTATAAAAAAGAGTAGAATAAGTTTCATTCACATTAAAATTCAGACTTCCAACATGTATCATTTTATATATTAATATGTATTAATATATATTTGTTGAAAGTCATTTTTATTTTTACCTCTCATTCAGAAAATATTCTCTCTCCTGCGAGAAACCAGTAGGTTATTACAAAGTAACATTTTACAGTAAAATAAATTATACAATTATTTTTAAGAATGATTTAAGAAACAACTTGGCAGCGGTAATCTCCTTCCCACGGGTTGTTAACAAGCATATATTCATTATTAATAATTACAATATTATACATATTTTTATAGTCTTTGTTTATTATAGAAAATAAACTTAATGACGACTCTCTCCATCAGACCACATAGAGTTCTGCCTGACAGATCTTGTAAATTTTAAAAGCTAATTTACATTGCGAAATAAACGTACGACTAAGGTCACTTAAACTGAACTTTAATATTAATAAAATTAAGAATCTATTTGTTTTCCTATAGACTAACCATGTTGTACACATTTTCCCAGTAGTCCAAGGTTATGAGTTGAAAGGTAGTGAGCATAGACCATAAAAAATTATCGAAGTTCGTGTAGCCGTGATTTGGATTCGGCCCCACGCATAAACAGGTGTATTCTGGAGGACAGTGCCGCGCACCTGTCAGGTTACCACAGATTATAGGCACTTCTTCTTCATTTACCATCCAATTAGATGGCTCTCTAATCCACCTGTAAGAAAAAAATTACTTTATACTGTAGAGACGAGTTGATAGTAAGAAATTTGCGTTTAAGGTAATTACTTAAAGATGGCGACTGTTTTAAAAATGTTGGAGTGAAAACATCTTCTGTTAAATTTGCATCGGTAAAATTGTACCATACTTCGAAAAATTAGTTATATACATTTCAAAAACAAAAATTGTACATCTACGTATTTATTATTTAGTTACATAAAATAGCAATTTTGTAGTTAATTTTGTGTTAGAGCCACGCAGCAGCTATATTATAGTGGCATGAATGGATCGGCTCGACCGGGGAAGAACCACGCTCTCACAAATACCAGAGTAAAATAGCAGCTTAATGCTGATGTGTTTCGTTTGGTAAGTGTAGAGAACTGGAGATTCTTTTTACTGAAAACGAGGCATTCCATCTTAGTCCTCAGGGTTGGCAACACATCCGCATTTTGATTCTTAATTGAGGATAAATGTAAATGCCTATGGGCCACAGCATCCACTTACATCAGGTGGACTGTGTGCTAGTTAGTCACCATTATTCTATATAAATCCTCGCTGGCCCTAATTTACCACATTCTCGGCGGTAAAGAAAAACATCTTGACGGAACCTGCATGTCGGAGAAATAAAATGTTTCAACGATGTGCAAAGTCCGTCAACATGCAACACGAGTGGCGGATTAATTGATACATCACCTGCTAGCAGCAGGATGTTATTAAGGCAGAATCTATACGTCACAGTGGTCAAGCCCGAATGGGTTGGCTCGAATTCGATAGGATCATGCTCTAAAAGAATACCACCGTGAAATATCTGCTTAATACTGCTATATTTCGTAGGGTGAGTGTGTAGCACCGAAGACCCTTTTTACTGGAAACGAGGCATTCCATCTTGGTCCTCAGGGCAGCGCACCTCCAAATTTGATTCTAAATTGAGGATAAATGTCTATGGGCCACAACATCTTTTCAATATAACCAATCTTCGTCATAAAAATTGACTGACAAAATATTTATATTAATAAGCTCTAGTCACATTTTGTCGATAAAATTATTTCCAGACTTAGCTAAAAAATAGATCGTCATTATTCTGTTATTATTTCAATGGAGAAATATTTCCACAGTCTAAAGACACTACTCTCTATATTCACATACTCTTTAATACGCATACATTTTCAGACTGTGGTATTTTATATCCACTCTAGCAAACACTTAACCGTTACATGATATAAATCTTTTTATACTTACCTTTTTCGTGAAGAAAATTATTAAAGTATGTGTTATCAACTTACTGTAACCATAGTTCGTCAGAAAAGTTTTCACCAGGCTTAACAACGAGATTCTTCACACATTTGTTTCTCAACTCTCCCATGTAGACCTGCAGAGCGAACAGCGCGAACACCATCAGGCAGAAGATAGTCAAAGTCATGACCTCCGCTAGTTGTTTGAATGAGTGCAAAAGGGCGTTGATGATAGTCTTTAAACCTACGAAGAAAGAGTAAGGTGTTGTTAACACACACACACACACATTTTCCCAATACAATTGTTTACATTTATATCAAATTACTCAGTGTACCAAATATTCGTTTCATTGCATGGTAAGGCAATCTATTATACAATATCAAAATATCAAAGACAACAAAATTATATAGGGTATATAATATGTATGTAGTGTTTATAGTAAATAAATAATTTGATCGCGGGAACCCAATTTTGAAATCTCAGGATTCAGGCTATTTTTTATTTTTATTTCCTGGGATTTTTGGAATGAAATATTAAAAAAAACGGGAAACTTCTCATGAAACAGTCACTCATTTAATAAGTCACTTTGTCACATTGAGCTATTATGTACTACGTACGTAAGCACATATTACTTCAATGCTTTGTCAGCCATTTTGTTTTAACAGCTGACGTTGTTACAGTCTGCACCGCAAAACCTCTGTTTTTGAGATTTCTTTGTAGAAATTGCATTAAATAATTTATATCTATTAAATTGAGAAGTCATTCTATAAATGTTTAGAAATAACAGATTGTTAAGAATGTTAATATTTAATTTCTGCCCCTGTAGTATAAAATGTACAGCAGGGTAGGTTTGTACACAGAGGAGACGTCAAATTCATATAATTTTGACCGAAGGACACTTACGGGTATGTTATATTATAGGCGAACCTAATAAAATATATTTCTTGACTCCTCTGTGTGTGTGTGTGTACACTGTTTAGATGTTGAAAGATTTGATTGCTTTATTTTAGTTATTTACTGACTATGTTAATAATTGTTAAACAATTTAGAACTAAACGATATACATTATTTACTAATTTCTCATAACTGCATAAATTATTTTGTATTTTTTATACTATTTAAAATGTATGTTTATTTTGTAGCAGCATTTTTTTTTCTTTTAAAGATATTCATTAATGACTGTTCTAAAGAAACTTGTAGCTTATCTAAAGAAAGTTTTAATAAGCAATCCAAATCCAGGGACCATCCAATGTTCCCGAGATCTGTGTAAAATAACATAAATCCGGGATTAGAAGTAAGGGCCAAGATTGAATTCCTGATGTTACTTCTTATCCGATTCAGTAGTAGTTTGTTTAAAAACTGGCGAAAAAAATGAAAATATAACACACATACACACACACACACACGCCACACAACACACACACACACATATATATATATATATATATATATATATATATATATATATATATATATATAATATCTTCTCTATATATAAAAGTGTCGCTAAAACTCGAAACTGGCTCAACTGATTCTGGTGAGTGTGTCTGGTGGTAGGTGGTGCTGTTGTCGAGATCCATAGTGCGAAGCCAGAGTGGATCACCAGCAACATAAATAATGAAGGCGCATACGAAAAAGGCCTTGTTGAGATTATTAGATAAGGTCGGCAAAATCGTATTAAATACTGTACATAAATTATAGGATATATAACAGTATAAAGGATACTTAACAGCAAATTAATGGTTGTCATTTGCGAACATATTAGCTATGACTGAGATTCGAATCCAATAATCATAACTGTGCTGTTTGATGTGCGCACTATTAATGCAGGTTAAAAACGCGTAATTTTTCATTATAAGGCATTTTACAAAACTATGTTCAAAACAAAATAATAGTTTAAAACTTTTTAATTTTTATTTGTTATAGGTTGCCGAAAGAAAAATTTTGTAATAAAAAATTATTTTTATAAGCATCTCAACCAAAAATTGTGTCGTAAACGCATCGTTATGGAGAAAAAAACGTTACTATAATTGTTAGATGTGTAGTTGCGGCGTTATAGTATGATTTCGTCACGTGTTCTCCATAGGAGACGCTTACAGGGAAGGCCAGAATAACCTCATCTGGCCTCTAATAATTAAGGATACACAATCTCGTAATGACAATAGTGAAAGAAGCAACTGGCAACAGATAGTAGCGTTGAATGTGGGAGATATCTTGTATATGTAACGTAAATATTTAAATTTAATATCACAAGATCTTCAACGCAAAAAAATTAAAACGCATAGAAAATATATTATTGCTATGCCTTCACTAAAACAACAAGGCTTCCTAAAAACACTAGTGCTAGTACTAGGGAAATTTTGTTGCCTGTTTTAGCTTCCCTCGGGACGATTTGGGGTAGTGGATTCTTCCACGGTGACACTACACAGCACTTAGTGATAATAATATGATTCTACATATGTATTTTTATAAACATATTTTTTAATAAAACCAGTTTTTAAAAGACAATACTTTACCAGGCATAATAGAAACAGTCTTCAGTGCTCTCAGTACCCTAAAGGTCCTCAATCCGGCAAGGTTGCCAACCTCCATGCCGATCGTGGCGTAACCCGATGTGATGACGACGAAGTCCAGCCAGTTCCAGGGGTTCCGCAAGTATGTGTACTTATTGAGTATGAAACCTTTCGCTATGCATTTGATTATCATCTCCGCCGTATATATGGCCAAAAATATGTACCTGTTGAAAGCAAACACTCATTAATGTTTCAATACAATTTGTGATACCCTTTATAAATTAAATAAAGAACAATTAATGGTGACAATCAGTTACACAGTCCATCTAATCGGTAAGTGGATGTTGCAATCTATGGATACCTATAAAAAATTCTATTTAGAACAAGCTCAATGGTTAAAACGGTATTGACAAGTAGCTAAATTAAAAATTTTGTGCAACCGACATCAATATAAATAAACTAAGAACATCATCAATGTAGTTGAAGTCACTTAACGCATTATTAAGGATAGCTCGCAGCAGCTTTAGCTAAAAAAAATCATCAAAATCCGTTCACCTGGAAAAAAGTTCTGAGGTAACACACATAAAAAATGCAATCGAATTGAGAACCTCCTCAGTTTTTTTGAAGTCGGTTTAAAAAGCCGGACTGCGTAAAAACATGACTGAAAAGAAAAATATATAAACCGAATATCACTTCTACAATCATGATAAATCTAACGACGCGTCCTAAGTTAAAATCCATCAAGCCACTTAGGCTACAGAGCAAGTTTAAAAAAACATGATACACTGGATAACATTACCCTCTTCTTGGTGCAGTCAGGTAACAATGCAGATGCGTTATAGCCTCCAAGGATTAAGATGGAACGTCTTATTATGAGTTTAGTTTTTCTTACTTTTCACAATTTATTTGTGTAGTAGCTATTATAGGCTTCTTCATGTCACCAAATGTATTTTTTGATAATTTTAAATTCTCAACACTTCGAATTTTGAGACGTCTACCTATCTGTACCTATAACTATACTTTCTGCCGTCAAGAAGCAGTGCTTGATATGTTCCGGTCTGAAGGTCTGAAGTTACAGCCTATAATATGCTGTCCCATTGCTGGGCTCAGGGCACCCATTATCTCTGAGAGGGGTTTTAGGACAATGGTTAGAGGGTTTGTGTCCGCCGCGTTGCATGTCTTCGCAATATATTTGTCAGTGCGTATTGGCGAACTTCACATGTCTTCGCAAAATTTTTTTCTTATTTCTCAGACATGCAGGTTTCCTCAAGATGTTTTCCTTTACCGCCAAGCACGTGGTAAATCAGCATTTAAAATTGCAATTAACAATTTCATTGGTGCCGGCGGGGATCGAACCCGGTAGAAATAATATAATCACAGGCTGTAAAACATTCCATCTTCTTTACTAACTAATAGCTGTGTTTGAATACCATCCCATCTGATCGTAAGTGTGATGCAGTCGAAGATGTTAAAGCACACTAACATCTTCGCTTCACTTCGGCCTCAGAGGTGACAACGCACGCTTCTTTGTTTAAAGTTGGTGGTCTGAGGTACCCGCTTACCATCAGGTTGACTGTAAGTCCGTTTGTCGTTTAAATATTTATTTAAAAAATAGCTTGTGCTGACTGCCATGAATATGATAATTAATATTAATATTGATAATTTTACCAAAAATCCTAAATGGTTAATGATTTCTTATATTGACGCGAACACTACACATTGATTAAAACTACTTTTGCGGATTTTATGGCCTTTAATTTTAATTATTTTAATTTTTAAATCCCGACGTTTCGGGTGCTTTCCAGCACCCATTGTCACGGGGGACTGAGGTGACTGACGTCCCGATGTCATTGTTAAACCCGGAGTACCTTCAGCTTTTTAAATTATTGTTTATGGTCCGATCTATGCAAAATGATCTATGCAAAATCCTAAATGATTTCTAATTTTTATTTGACGCGATGGCCAATGGCCATACAAAAACGTAAGGAGTGGACACACAAAAAAGAAACTGGCATAAAATATATGATAGTTTTTCTCAATTATTTCAATGAACAGCCACGTAAAGCCTACAATTTTATTAAGTATACCCCACGTAAAGCTTACAATTTTATTAAGTATACCTAATGGTATGATATACCACACATAAATTATAAATGACATTTGATACACGAATACTCCAAGAACATTTTCCCTATATAGGCAACGTAATATTCAGGACCATTAAAGGGCTTAATGTTCCTAAAATATCGTTCGGTTCGTACCTATTCTAAAATATTTGAAGTCTTCAAATATTTAGCACTTCTTCATTTTAAGTTTCTTAGAATATTTGAAGACAAGTTTGCGTCAGTTACTTCATTAAGTGATCAATATTATCTGGAAGTTAGAATGTAGTATACATTATATTAGTATGAGTGGTAGCGAGTGATATCGAGGTGGCGTAAGAGAATTCATTAGTTCACAACATTCTGCGACTGTCGTAAGAAACGACAAGGCAAAACTGAACCAGGACATGAGCCGCAGCATCTCCCTGATAACAGCTGAATAAAAATAAACTCTAAAAATGCGGTTACTCACCTCGCGTGGCAACTTTTGCAGCATAATGATTTCTTAAATTTACGCGAACACTACACATTGAATAAAACTATTATTTACGGATTTTATCGCGTTTAATTCA